TATAAGAAACTAGTAGAAGTGGTTTATGTGTTACTGGGAATCCACACTCCACCGATGCTGGGTTCATATGTACATTCATAAAATATATCTATCATGTGAATTTGATATGAAAGAGGTTGTATTTTCACCTATTCAGTGCCCTCTTCCAGTAATCCTAATTTCCAACTTAAATCCATCATTTTTCTATTTCAAAACAATAATTAATTGATTACAACTAAATATTTCCTTGGTCTTTCTACCTACATTTTATTAATCCAGCCTTATCTTTTCAGGGACGGAGAGAGCGGTGAAATCATTCATAGGCATGTTTGGCAGTGACTGGCACAACTCCATACAGCCAGTACAACCAGAACTTGTTGCCTTGGAGATCACCAAGGCAACTGTTACTAGGCAATATGAAGTATACACTAGCACAGATATACCATCCAAAATATTTATATCTTTAAGGTTACTTTTTCCAAATTTTGCTGATAAATTGATGCTTAAAAGCTTTTCAGTCTTGTAAATATCACCCTAGCTTATACCTTAGAACTACAAAAGTTTATACGGAATCGTTTTTCAATTGCAAATGGAAAGTAATGTTTTTAGGATCTTACCAGTAGTGGTCATTTTCATCCAACTTCTTTACAGAATATATGTACAACTTTGTCTACTGTCAATCAAGACAGACAATAGCTTGTATTTCAAGAAAAATATATTTATTTTTCATTAATTGCAAAGGTCAACAGTTGTGTCTCAAATCTCAGCATTACAGAGAAGACAGAATTGTTGATAAACTTCCTGGTATGATGCCAGCTAAATCACTGCACTGAAGTCTGTAGTTAATACTGCTGTTCGTTATTATTAAATACACCTTGCATAACACTAATATATACGCATGTCAGGCTTGGATTAACTTCATTCTGTATAAACAATAACATATGCACATAATTGATGCATAAACAATATAAATTTTGATCAACCAATGCTCAAGTTTGTAAGCATATTATATGAGGCCCACCATGCTAATGAAATTTTTCTGACTGAATAGTAAAAAGTACAAAATCCCGCAACAACCAAGTGATATTCTGGCCCAAAACTACATACTGTATGTAAGACTAGAACAAGTGATATTCTGATCCATACTACATACTGTATGTAAGACTAGAACAAGTGATATTCTGACCAATACTACATACTGTATGTAAGACTAGAACAAGTGATATTCTGATCCAATACTACATACTGTATGTAAGACTAGAACAAGTGATATTCTGATCCAATACTACATACTGTATGTAAGACTAGAACAAGTGATATTCTGATCCAATACTACATACTGTATGTAAGACTAGAACAAGTGATATTCTGGCCCAATACTACATACTGTATGTAAGACTAGAACAAGTGATATTCTGGCCCAATACTACATACTGTATGTAAGACTAGAATATCTGAAAAAGATGACTTCATTTTTTACATATCATGGCTCCAACTTTATACATAAGGCTATCAAGACGCACAGAGATGCTTTGTAATTTTATGCTGCACAACGTTTCTTATACTGTTACATATCCACAAATGATCACACACATACACACACCCTTACACTTTATAAGATAGAGATAACATATGTTTGTTGGCCACAGCTGTTCAGTAAATCAAAAGTATTAAATTGACATTCTAAAGAAGAGAGAGGAATTCTATTTATGTGGACAAACACTGTACACCACAGTGTATAAAAACAGTTCTGTCTATTTTAATAGAACAACCTATTTTAAAACAACTTGGCTCCTTGCACTTGACAGCATAGTGCTGTTTCTTTTTGTTAAATATAAACAACAGTTAAACCCCAGAGGGAAATTCACTGTTACAGTTGTATCTGTTTTGTGATAATTGAAATTTATGAATAATGATAATATGCCAATGACTGAAATAAACAGAACAAGGAAAACAAGGGATCATTTGACCATTCAAAAAGCTAATTTAAATCATAATGCAGTATGTACAAAAAGAGATATAAAAAATATGGTAATGTTAATATATATATACAAATATATGACTAAAATGGCATCCAGAGTTTTGGAGTTTCCAGTAGACTACCAGTAAGCTCTATTATCAGCTTGTCTCCCCTCCCTCTCTGGAAGACATGATGATTACACAGGTCAGTCTACAGTAAACTCTTAAACTCTGGGTACAAAAGGACTGCCTTGGCATGAACCCCCCCACCCCAGTAGTTACAATGTATTTATTTACTTAAGGACCCAAATAAATTTAACATGGATAAAATGATATTGGCATTATTATGAACTGAAACAATGGTTATTATGTCACTGTATATGACGACATGGTCTGTCATGGCATGTTGTCATGGCAACAGTTACCATGGTACTGAATGTCAGGTCATGGACTGTCATGCCATGTTGTCATGGCAACAATTACCATATACTGAATGTCAGGTCATGCACTGTCATGGCATATTGTCATGGCAATGGTTACCATGACACTGACTGTCAAGTCATGGACTATCATGACATGCCATAGCTCTTTGTTCTTTATTTTGATAACTCTCTAAATGCAGTATGTCAGCAGTGAGAGGGGGGTACATGGTAAACACCAAGTATTCTGACCACAGCACCAATGTTAAGAGTTCATACTCTCCTCTCTCTCTACTGGTACACAGCTCCTAGTAATGTTCTCTTCACTGTCTTCTGGCATATTTCATGTCCTGATAAAATATTTCAGTTTCCATGTGCTTCACTTTCCTTTCTGCCCCAAACTGACCATGAGCAATTATTATTTACGCCTCACTATCTGATGAGTTGATGTAGTTCAAGCCTCACTATCCGACCGTTCCCGCACTTCCATCTCCAGTTCCACCGTGCTGCCACGCTTGTGTGTCCGCATAAGTTCATGGTCTTCTTCTACCTGGCCCTCAATGGCCCTCCTCACCTGCAAGCACAAAATGCAGGCTGATTGCATTACCCCATGCTGTGATTTGTTAAACTTGTTCCATCTTTCTCTGACCTATAGGGGAGAGCGGGGTGGGTTGGAACGCGGGTAAGTTGGAACATTGGCTTTATTTCTTAAACCACAAGACCGATCATGTGCTCCTTCAGCATAAAAATGTCACTTGGTATGGCCATTCATCCGGTTAGCTTTTGGAAGTTTCGAAAATGCAGAAAAAGTTTTATGCGAAAAAAACTCATTTTCGCTACTCGAAGTAAGTTTTCATATTTTTGACTCTCATCGTGCGGTAAACCAAAGTATAAGGATTATATCACTGAAATTGTGCATAGCGCTTAGGACCACCTTTATGTTCAAAAAGCTGTAGTTTATTTTAATCACCTCCCACGTGTTAAAGAAGTACAGTGTCATAAGTAGGCCATGACGTCATGGGGGTTGGTCAGAACATTTGACATGGGGCCAGTTGGAACACTGTCAGGAGTGTTCCAACCCACCCCGCACGGTGCTTTTCATTTTTTTATCCTTCTAAATGTTTTATTTTCAACTTTAAAGATAGTAGTAATGTAGTAACCCAGTACAACTCCAACTGGAGACGTAATCCAGCTGGTAGAACATCTCCAAGATGCCGGAACGTACCGGTACANTAACCACTTCTACCAACCTCCCTGTATTGGTGACATAGGCATGGTTCAAGTTTACAGTATTATATAGTTATGATAGTAACATGTTGATATGTGTTTACCTCTTTAAGTGCAACTACTCCTACCAACCTCCCTGTATTGGTGACATAGGCATGGTTCAAGTTTACAGTATTATATAGTTATGATAGTAACATGTTGATATGTGTTTACCTCTTTAAGTGCAACTACTCCTACCAACCTCCCTGTATTGGTGACATAGGCATGGTTCAGGCCTAGCAGTGAGAACAGAGAGTGAACCTGAAACATAGCCACAACCACATAGTGAGAAAGAAGTGAAACGGTGAAGTCTTAACTACTTAGGTACTGTAAGGAATGCATGTACAATTCAGTTCTCCCATGCCATTATGACAGATCCATTTCTTCCAAGAATAAGCTGAAACACTTCGTCAGATTCCTCTGCATTGATGCTAAAATTTATTTTGACTAAATGACCCTTTTTTCAATTCCCCAGTCATTATCGAATTTTGGAAACAATTTTATTTATGTAAAAGACAGAGATGCGGATAAAATGAACATTCTTGAAAACCAACCATGCATTTTCTAGATGTTCTGTTTTTTTAACATCTTACTTTCTGTAAGGAAGTCCTCTCCACTAGCTGGAAGGGGGCAGGGTCTATCTGAGCCTCTTCAAACTTCACCTGACATTTCAACTGCTCTTCCTCCCACTGTCTTTGCTACAGAATAAACATCAGTGTCAAAACAATGTCACACCATGTCAAAACAATGTCACACCATGTCAAAACAATGACATTTCAACTGCTCTTCCTCCCACTGTCTTTGCTACAGAATAAACATCAGTGTCAAAACAATGTCACACTACTGTCAAAAATATTACACCACTGTCAAAAAATGTCACACCATGTCCGAGAAAAAAAAAACTGTAAAAATGTCAAAACATCCAAACAACATCACACTAACATCAAAACAATGTCACACTATGTCCAAATATACCACACCACTGTCAAAACAATGTCACACTATGTCCAAATATACCACACCACTGTCAAAACAATGTCACACTATGTCCAAATATACCACACCACTGTCAAAACAATGTCGCACCATGTTTAAAAAAAAAACATTGTAAAGATGTCTCACTACACCCAAACAACATCACACTATCATCAATACAATGTCACAACACTGTCAAACAAATGTCACACCATGTCAAAACAATGACACTATCATGACTATCTACAGTGCTCTCCAAAATAAGGACAGCAATCCAATCTAATGTTAGCAGTAAGCAGAACAAGACTAAACTTATCAAGAATCATTCAAATTTAGGAAACTGTTCATTGCCATTGTCATATAAGATGAGCTTTAATCAGGCTATACAAAATGGCAACACTACATGGAGGAAGAGACTAACCATATCTAGAGCACTACAAGCAGTGCATTACTGTGCAATAAGAGCCAAGGGTGAAGCCAGAATTATTTGAAGGGGGTGGTCCATGGAATTGAAGTCTCCCCTTCCCCTGCTGACGTGGGGTTCGGGGCCCGCTGATATTTTGGTATTTTATTTGGTGAACGGTGACATCTGGTATAGTTTAAAACTATGATTAAGCTACACAAAATTCTAATTTCAAGAGGAATTATTGGTGTGATTTTTTTTTTCAGTAATCGAAGGGGAGGGGAGGGGTCAGGACCCCCCTAACACCCCTCTTAATATCTGCCACTGAGAGCTGTGCTATTTTATGACTACTGGAAGAAATAAAACTGACCAGCAATGGAATTTACAGACCCAGACCCAGTGCAATAACAACTGTGTCATTTTATATCTACAGAGAGCAATAAAACAGGTTGTCATTAATATCTACAGACATGGGGTCCGGGGGGTCCGGGGCCCGCTGAAGGGACCAGAAAAAATTGGTATTTCATAGGGAGAACGGTGGCATTTGGTACGGCTTAGAACTATGATGCAGCTAGTCAAAATTCTAATTTCAAGAGGGGACCATTGGTTTGATTTTTTTTAGAAATCGAAGGGGGGGGTCAGGTCCTTACGAAGGGGGATGGGTATGAAAAAAAGCAAGAGCATGTTTGGATTAAGCAATAGTGGCAACGTGACTATTGAAAAAAAAAAACACTTCTTGCTTTTGTTGAAAGGGTAGTACGACATGCATGCATGCTGCCATGCCGGATTAGCTATTGACTCCATTGAAGTTTGATCTGTGGCGTAGCTAGTAAAGGATAGAGAACTATGACCATTCCCGCCTGAACATCATTTTAAAGACTTTAAAAGTGAATAGAAAGGAATAAACTTGTGAAACTATAATACAGATGTCAATAGACACCATTCCAAAGAATCTAAATCAATCTAAATAGTAAACTTTAATATTCTAAAGCAAAATTTGAAGAGAAAGGAATATTTTTGATAATGACCAGTAATAATTTGTTGTCAAATCGATCACTTATTCTTAATCCGCCACTGTATCTTATGATGTAAGTAACAAAATATGAGTCTAGACACTTCAATAGAAGTTGAATAACAAACACAGATTAAGGCTCCATTTTAGAATAGATGATCCGAGTACTAACTGATCCGCCTACTAAATATGGCCGACCACACTTCACAAGAGCTGCCGCTGATTCTCGATGGTCTCCCCGCCTCCACATGCGCCGCCGCTGCAGGGGACTTGCAATTAAACATCGGAGCCGAGATTAAATCCCTTTGATGACGTATGTGTCCTTTATGTCTCCTAATGCACACTAAAAGCAACAATTTATGGGAGCATTCCCGCACGAAAACGAAGTAGATACTCCGGCGCAGTAGACTACTGCAATCATACTGCAAACATGCTTCAAATCGGCTTCGATTTGGGAGCTAATTAGCATATTTGAAACATGCTTCTATCATGCTGCTAATCTACTGCATTAATGCTCCTCCTCTGTACAACCCTATGTAAATTTTGAAGTAGAATTGCAGTAGGCTATACTGCATTTCTACTGCAAATATGCTCCACACCACTACTGCGTTAATGCTTCTTTGCTACTTCGATACTACTGCATTTTTGTGCGGGTTCACATCGAGAAGAGCCGAGATNTACTGTCAAAACAATGTCACACTACTGTCAAAAATATTACACCACTGTCAAAAAATGTCACACCATGTCCAAGAAAAAAAAAACTGTAAAAATGTCAAAACATCCAAACAACATCACACTAACATCAAAACAATGTCACACTAGGTCCAAATATACCACACCACTGTCAAAACAATGTCACACCATGTTTTTTAAAAAAAACCTTGTAAAGATGTTTCACTACACCCAAACAACATCACACTATCATCAATACAATGTCACAACACTGTCAAACAAATGTCACACCATGTCAAAACAATGACACTATCATGACCATCTACAGTGCTCTCCAAAATTAGGACAGCAATCCAATCTAATGTTAGCAGTAAGCAGAACAAGACTAAACTTATCAAGAATCATTCAAATTTAGGAAACTGTTCATTGCCATTGTCATATAAGATGAGCTTTAATCAGGCTATACAAAATGGCAACACAACATGGAGGAAGTGACTAACCATATCTAGAGCTCTACAAGCAACACTACATGGAGGAAGTGACTAACCATATCTAGAGCTCTACAAGCAACACTACATGGAGGAAGTGACTAACCATATCTAGAGCTCTACAAGCAGTGCATTACTGTGCAATAAGAGCCAAGGGCGGAGCCAGAATTATTTGAAGGGGGTGGTCCATGGAATCGAAGTCTCCCCTTCCCCTGCTGACGTGGAGGGGCCCGCTGATATTTTGGTATTTTATTTGGTGAACGGTGACACCTGGTAAAGTTTAAATCTATGATTAAGCTACACAAAATTCTCACTTCAAGAGGAATTATAGGTGTGATTTTTTTCTCACTAATCGAAGGGGAGGGGAGGGGTCAGGACTCCCCTGACACCCCTCTTAATATCTGCCACTGAGAGCTGTGCTATTTTATGACTACTGGAAGAAATAAAACTGACCAACAATGGAATTTACAGACCCAGACCCAGTGTAATAACAACTGTGTCATTTTATATCTACAGAGAGCAATAAAACAGGTTGTCATTAATATCTACAGAGCCAGACCCTGCTTCATATAATAAAGCCTTCCATCTTAACTGCAAAAGCCTTATAGTGATCCAAGGAATTTAACCAATTCTTAGCCTATAAAGTTGTAATTCAATAGAATCTGATATACTTTTATATAGGTTTTTTAAAAAATTGAATCTCAAGACTTATTTTTGGTATTGAATAAACGTTATGATTATCATTCACACTGACAGTTGTGAAATATTTATATTATTGTACTTATAGTTTTTGGCATGACTTAAGGCTGTCAAAATGAAGCAGTGTGAGTTAGGTTCAAGTACTAATATTGAATATCTAGGATAAAACCATAATTCACATCTTAACTACTGTGAGTACCTGGGGATGGGATGGTATAGGTCACACTTTATGTCTATTATTTGACATTTCAACCCTTATTATCTTCCCCTGACATCAATAAGTAAACAAAATGTAACATATATTTTTAAAGAAGCAGCATATAAATTGGCCTATTATACACTTCATCACTTTCTTTCTGGTTTCGAAGCTTCTGTCAAAATAACCGCCTTCATCTGCCTCTTCTGAACATGGTTTAAAATTCTTTGGTTGGGTTTGACTGAACTAAACAACAATAACAATATGTCAGTTTAAGAATAAAGACATTTTTCTTCAATGACCAGTGAATACTGGCAGCTAATAATTACCTCCAATATTTCATTGTCTCTCATGAGTATCTACATCATGGAATGAGGCAATATTCCCAGCCAAATATTAGGGGAGACCGGGGCTAGTTGGACACCGGGGTAAGTTGGCTCCCCATCAATTTATGACAAAGTAACTGTGGGGTATAAGAATTGATCACATCATTTTGTAAAGTGACCGCATCCAATAGTGCTAAGAAAGCGTTGGCAGGGAGTCCAAATGAAATAAATTAGCATCTTAAAGTAACTTGATTAAAGAGACTTGATGGGGGGCCAACTTACCCCGGGGTCCAACTAGCCCCGGTCTCCCCTAGCTGTTGATTGAAGAAAAATTACTTAATTGTTCTAACATAACACAGCGGATGTAAGTCTTCTCTGATGTCAGTTTATAAATGAACACAGCACACATCATGCTACTGGTACTTTACCTCTTCTTCACTTAAATCTATCACTCTCTGTGGAGGCTTGCAAATGAAGAGAAATAATCCAATGACAGAATGACAACTTTTTGAAATCAGTTTATTTTTGAAGTATAGAAATGTGCTATTTTAATACAAATAAACTACGCAACATCTTTATAAAGGTTATTGATCTCATCACCTATACCTTTCAAATAAAATATCGGGTTTTAAAATAACATTCTATTGATAATCAGGTAGGGTGATTTCAGCTAAGTTTAAAGTCTTGTCTTTAATTCAGAATTTATGTTGAATGCAATATAGACTTTAAAGAAAAGCAAACTTTTAAGTCATTTTCTGAAACTGGTTCTAGATACTCTCTAAAGTCAATATAGTATGTAACCATGTGTCAGTTCACTGCAAGCTGCTCTAGTGAAGACACTGTGGCTCTCATCACTGCAAGTTCTACAATCATGACAAAATAAATTCTAAACACAACACACACTTGATAAACATATCAAATATACCACACATCACACCTTACTAGAGACATTCCTGAAATCAACTTACCATAATACAAAGTAATATCAATAATATTCACTAACATCATTTACCTTTTCTTCATCTTAAAAAAAGTCTGAAAATTTTAGTTATTAATACCATCTGCTGACCAATTGTTTTGTAATACATTTACTAAGTGAAGTAATTTTATTGGACAGACAAATTTACAAGACAGACAACCTGAAGTCCATACACCCCTAAACCAGTGTCTGGAGTATAATACTACTAGGGTATCACCACAAGTGATGCAACATTCTATAGGAAAGCTAAACATCTATAATATAATTACACATTTAAAAGCCAGCAAGAAAAGCATGTTTACTGAGACACTTCTAAAAAGCAACCTTCAAATAAGGCTTTAAATATGAAATATTATGTAAGCCTAGGAAATCTCAAAAAGTAAGGAAACAATGTTTATATCTATAAAATCATAATTAATAAATATTATTACATGTAAAGAAAGTCAACTGATATATGCCTAATTGTCAAATGACTCTCAATACAATTTTTCTCTCGGCACATTTCTTGGTCTTTTGACCCAAAACTGACCCTGTGATGGATACCTGACTCTTTCCTGACCTATATAAAATTTGACCTCTCCCTAATCTTTACTTCACCTCTGACCCCTGCCTGACCTTCACNCGATCCGGACGAGACCGAAACCATGTGTACCGCCAGCGCTAACGCTGGTGGTACAATAAAAAACTGCATATCAACATTATATGGAATTTGCAGTTTACATTACTTTTTTCATGTTAAAATAATTTTATACAAACAAATTGCACAGTGGTGTCTTATGGTAGTTTATAGTATGTATTTTTACCTAAATGAGCAGCCTAAAGAAATAATCAAAATGGCAGAAGCAATTTCATGTTAACTACATAATTTCATTTGTGCAACTTTCTTGTACTTTCAGACTGCTCCGAGATTTGTTTCATCAAACAGAGGCTTAATCCTGTCCAGACAATTTACCTTGGCGACGACCTTGACCCCATCACTGTGATATGCCAGGAGGGATGGACACTCATTCAACACAAGACTGACGAAGGTGGCGTAGATTTTGATCGCAATTGGGATGAGTACAAAACTGGCTTTGGCAATGTTAAGGAAGATGGAGACTTTTGGCTTGGCAATGACATTATTCATCAGTTGACAAAACACCAGGACTACAAAATCCATATTGATATGATATCGCATGACTTTACATGGTACTTTGCCGAATACAAGAACTTCTCTATTGGCACTGAGGAAGACAACTACAAACTTCGTGTGGGTAAATTCCACGGATCTTTACCTGATGCCCTGAACATAAACAACATGCAGTATGTTTCCAACGGTCAAGCCTTCACGACGAAAGATCACGATAATGATGGCTGGGCTGGAGGGAATAATGCTAATGCCTATGGAGGTGGCTGGTGGTATAACTACGGTACCAATGCACCGCTTAATGGATGGAGCATGTGGTACCAAGGAAAGAAAGACCCTATATACCTCAAGAGAGTGACCATGAAAATAAGACCAATGACCCAAGATGACCAGTTTTAGGAAATAATATATTTTCATCATAATGATATCAGTGCATTGTTTGGACATCATCTTTTTTCTTAGCTCCCTTATATTTTTTATCCATTCTTTTATAGACAATGAAATTTTTTGACGATGAGTAAAATGTTTGTAAATGAAAGCTGGAACCCTTGATGGTTCTTAGGGAAGGTGACATTTTACATAAAATCGGCATCTCAGTTAGGCTTTAAAATCTAAAATATTGAACATCAATTTGGACACGAGGATGGGGAGATACATAATTATCTTAAGATGTTTAAGTATAGAGTTTATCTCTTTTTTTCCACATAATTAGAAAAATATTAGGAATTAGATGCATCTTCTACATTCTGTGCAGTTTTCACAAATATTGGCAATTTTTTTATGTATTGACAAATTTTTAAAAAAATATTCGTGAACAATTAGTTTTAATTTTTTTATCTGTATCTATTTCTGCAACAAAAAGTTGTATTGTACAGATCAGAAAAGCCATTTCACTGCCCTACGGATTGTATGTTTTATTCAAATATAAATATGTATCCAATTTTACATTAAACATTAATTCAATAGCATCCACCTATTTATAATTTACAACTATTGGTAGCTCACTTTTTTGCTTGTTTTAATTTAGCAAAATTTGAAAATTATAATCTGGAATATTTTCCTGAATAGCACCTCATCGAGGTATTAAGTGTTTAATGATCAGTTGATCTCAAGATTTTTCATAATCAAATAGCCTATTTACTCTAGAGAGAAAAAATCTACATGTGTATTTTATTGTTAATAAAGATTTTTAAAAGGTGTTAAAAAAAGAAATTTTATAATGAGAGTCCACAGAACCAGTTACGTGTGGTATTAAATATAACATACATGTAACATCAATTTTATAGATTTTAGTCTTGCCAGAAGGTGGAAACATTTTTTCATACTTTTGTTTCAGATATAACAAGATTTGAATAGTCTTATTTCATACAAGATTTAATTTCACAACCAGACTAAACAATTTAAGTACATTTCTGACATTCATTGCCTTATTGTGCTGTTGAACAGATCGTTTAAAATTTGTGCATTTCTCAAATTCTCAACTTTCTTTTCAAGTCCTCCCATTCCTCTCTTAAAATATGTTATAATACACATAAACAGTCATCATGCATATACATCCAATTTCCAAATGACATATTTGATTTACCCTTTACATATACCAGGGCCGCAGATTGATTTTTCACTAGGCATTCATGGCATAATTTTCTACTTTGGGACAAAAAAATGTACATAATCAAATTCAAATCCAATCAAAAGTTAAGCTAATGCTGACCTATGTAAATCAGTTTCAGTTCTATTGTAATAAATGGAATGTTGCTTCTGTTTTACGCTGTATATCACCAAAGACTTGGCTAATGTGTCAGACCAATACTTCACTAAAGTTGACAACTATGGATTCATCTTGAAATGTAGTTACTGTAGTTTGACCAATATATTCTTCAATACTGACATGGTACTCAGAAAATACTTATTTAACTCAGACACTAATGATATTTGTATAAAATTAATTACTTGAAAGATTTCAAGATAAAAATATCACACATGTGACGTCAAATATATCAAAGTATCACATAATAAGCATCACATGCTTCTTATTTAAAAGTATGTTTGAAGTCAACCTTTTATATCACACAACTGGCAAATCAAAATGGCTAATACTCATTGTGTCAACTTATAAATAACAAAGAAACTGACCTAAATTTGCTTGTTAATATTACAATCATTGCTGGAGTAGCTATTGCAGTGCAAGATTCCATATTTTTCTTTGGATAATAAAAACTTTCTGGCAAGTACATCATCACACTTAATAGAGTCAAACAAGCCCAGTCAATGGTTTTTAGCTTTCCATTCTAGTCTAAATCTAGTCTAAATATATAAACAGACTCCCGTGTGGGTTCTGTCTAAATATATGATAGAGTGCCCTGGGGATCTAGGCTAAATACCATGCCATACAGTACCCTATGGAAGCTGTCAAAACATGTGATGTGTTGATCTAGGCTCCTGTCTTTAGTTTGATTATTCACAACTTCTTTCCTCTCAAGGCCACCATCCAAAGAGGCACCTTGAGGAACCTTGGCACTACAGCAGCAAGCCAAGTGTTCCCGTTGTAATTCAATAAGGTCTTGACAGAACGCATGCCCAATGGTTTTCTCCCTACAATAACAATAAATTGCTTAAAACCTATGATTCTTATACATTTTCAACTTGAACATGATACTCCTATTTTGGATTTGCAAAAATCAAAATGGCACACTATCCTCCATGAAACTGTGTTGACCATGGTTGGAGAAGAGGGGAAGAAGGGGGAAAAGAGATGAGCTTGGTTTATGTAGTGCAGAAGCCCGCATGAAAACAACTCAGCATAAATTCATGGTAAAGGCTCTTGAACAACAAGAGGTACGTGATGACCCATTTTTATATACCTGGACTACCTGTAAGCAGGCCAATACAAATGCATTGAAATACCCTAAATGGTATTTTGCAGCACAATAATTATGGGGAAACTGACTTACTGAACTGTGGAGAAGGGGAACTGGTCCCGCGTCCCCTTAGAGTATCAGTAATGTATCTGTGGTACCTTTGCAATCCAAACAGTGGAACATGTTTTGTGTTTTTGTCTTATGGCAAACTCTATATGCAAGGAACATCCTGCGTTAGATTTTATCTCGGTAGAAAATCTTTAGAGAGGCAGGCCTTTTCATAATGCTAACATTGTGTTATGGTTTTATTAGCATGTTTTAAGGCCATAATGACTCAGCCAACTTGAGTGTAATTATGAATTTGTTTGCTACGCTGATTGTTTATACAGTGTATATTCAGTATATTCTGGGTTTGTAAAAATACTTTGTACTTTCTGTTCATGTTGGAATAAATTATCTATCTATCTAGACAGAGAAGGAAAAGGGCAGACAAAATTGCTGAATGTAATGGGGAGAGCTCTTTCAAGATCCAAGTCCAGTGGTGCAGACAGCTGACACAATGTTTGATTCAAGTGTTCCTTCAATTCTAGAGGACTGATAGATGGACATCACTAGCAGTCAATGGAGTAAATAGATTTGATTTATTAATTTTTAGGGCATCTGATTCAAAGCTGTCTTTTAAGACAGTTAAAACAGTTTCCCTCACACATTATGATTATTTTATTCTTGTAAAAGGGCTGTACCTGAACACTTTATATAAATTATGTCAAATATTGTTTGTTTGTTTTTTCAATTTATGAGAACACTGTGCTTTATACATAAAAAGTGCAGATGAAAAAAACTAGTAATTAACAAATCTCTCAGCCAACTTACCATTAACATCTGTTAAATCATATTCATTAGCAAGATCTGATGTCATCAACACTTTCCCAGTCTTCTGCATGATATTTGGATCTGAAAAGCAACCCATATTTATTCAGATATTTAGTAGTAATTAATTAAGTTGTAATTTATACTTTGTTCAATAAGCTGCCCGGCTTTCTACATAACGTTTTTTTTTACTTGTTACTCTCTTATTTATCCATTTCTTTTTTTTGAAAATTAAATAGATGAACAGTAGAAATATTTGGTAAAATATTTGTTAAAAAAGTATTTGGCTACTTGTACTGCAAAAATGCACTGCGTGAGTGCGTTGAGAAGTGTGTGTGTGTGTGTGTGTGTGTGTGTGTGTGTGTGTGTGTTTGTTTACCCATGCGTGTGAAGAAAATGTCATGCAAATATTAATGTCATAAAAATAACAAGGAAACAGCCTTGAACACCAAGTTGCACAGGACAAATAAAAAACTGTTACAGAAAGTTACTTATGAAGGGCATGACTCACTTTTAGAGCTTATATATTTCAGCCAAATAAATCAAAAAGATGGCACCTGTACAGTACCTAATGCCAGCTTGGCAATGCACATCCCTGCAAACTGAGGCGTTTCCCCATTTTCAAAAATCTTCTTCACCTAGTACAAAAATACAGAACTCATGAAAGAAAACACAAATAAAAATTTCCAAGAAGGAGGAAGAAGGGGGCTAATTACATATTAAGCACAAATGAACATACAAATTAAAGCTAACCCAAGGTATCTTCATCCATATATTCTTTGCATTACAAAAACATAAATTACTATATCAAGAAACTTACAGTAAACATGTAGTGCAACCTTAAATAGTATTATAAAATGATTCTGCATTTAAAAAAAAGTTAAAGTAATCATTAATCATTAAGTAACCATTTATGACATACAACTTCAGGTTTGATTCCAGGCAGTTTCAAATCATTTCCTTTTTCTGAGGCCATCATTTTGGTAATATGTTCCGTCTGGACAGCACCTGGCCACAAGCTGACAAAGGCAACTTTATGTTTTCGCAGCTCAATCGCACAATCTGCTGCCATACGGTCACACTAGAATTTAACACGTATAACGTATAATATTGTACATAATAAGTGCCACATAAAATTGATCTGATTTTGAATTTGAAAACAATAAACATAAACTTATCCAAATATACATCACAGATTCAAAGAGCTTTGTTTAAGCCAATTTCCTACTTCTTATCAAAAGTAAATATGTAACTCTTTTAAAAGGGTGTACATGCCTGTATGTATGGGGGCAACTGTATCACTGTGTTTTTGTGTTTATTGCGCGGATCACAAATATTTTGAGTTTAAACATGATAAGCCATAGTCTTGTACAAATAAATACATTTTTTTCTTGGAGACATCACGAAAAATCAACTCATAAAAATGCACAGAAAAATTGATAATAGATGCCCCTACTATCAAATTCTTGTTCTGATACCCTTTCAAAAGAAGAAATGTAGTCTCACCGCTTCCTTGCCAATGCCATAGGCCACATTGAAAAGATATGACAAGCCTCCAGCAGACGAAATATTCACAATAAGTCCTTCTTTTCTTGGCACCATGATTTGGCTGGCATATACTGAGCAGATGTAGTGATTTCTAAAATTTGAACATAAAAATTTTCATCATAAAAATCCCCATTCTTTAGACTTGAAAAACTAGTAAGCAAATTGGTTGCTTTGGAAAGTAAAATAGTCCTTTTTTCTACCTAAGTAGGACTTCATGGATTCAATCTTATATCATGATGTCCATATTTTATATATTATACTGACCTAAGTCCAACATTGTTCACAGTGTCCCACATGGTTGTTGGTTGCTCCCAAAATGGCTTTCCCATAACTTCTCCTATAGCCTTAAAATGTAATGGATAAATAAAGGATGAAAATATGTGAAATGTCCAATAAAATGCATAAGAAACATGAAGAACAGGCAACATAAAAGTTTTGAAAACTAGGTATTAAAATAATCATTTGAGTTGAAAAAAAAATCAGAAGTTTTTCCTATATGTATATTTGTGATGAAGACTACACACACTGAAATAACCCTTCATAAAGAACAATAATTTTTGTTTTTTGGGGCATTTTTTTTTACTCAATTTGAAATCCCCTGTTAATAAGTCTACAATACTTGAATATTTTCAGAGATACTTAGGACGCATCATGGACTGCTTGGGGATGTCACTGGAAGCAGGTTAAATCTTAAAGAGGCAGAGGAAGAAAGAGAATGACAATGTTCGACCACTGGTGTAATAAGAAAGAAAACGACAGAACAGAAAGTTATGGTGCGATCCAAAGAAGGGCTGAAAATCTTGATGAATGGTGTGGGAGACGCTTAACCTGCCTTATGACAGACAACCAAGAAGAAAAAGAAGAACAGCCTTATAATATCTAAATCGCTAGTGCCTTGTATACAGATTTGTCCATGCACTCCTGGCCATTTGTTGCCACCTAAATAATAGCTAGGACTCCTGTAAAAAAAAATTTCACACAAGATATGTGACATCCTACTATACCCACTTACACCTCAGTATATTTGGTGTAACTATTACTTACATTTACTGCAGAATAAGCATTGTTGACCATGATGTCCAGTTTTCCCTTCTGCTCCTCCTTAACCCGGTCAAAGAGAGCTTTAATGTCTTCATCTTTACTGTGATCACATTGTATTGGTATACACTGTCCACTGTTCTCTGATATCTGTAAAATGTTTTATAAATTTTAGAACAGTGCAAAGATAATAAGGTTTCTACAGTCTGGGGAAAAGTTGTGTAGTAATTTTGGATTGAGATTATTACAGAAATAAATGTTTTTCTGAAATTGCTATCCCAACTGGACGAATGGAAATTTTTGGCATATGTACTGCATTCTTTCATTCAGTCTTTCATAACTTTATATGGTATCTACTAATCTTTCATATATATACACACATAGTTTTTATCTTTATACATGGTAAAATATGGTTTTCTGGGGCCAACTACTCAGGGTGGCCAAAAGACTGCAAAATTTAAGCCACAACTTGTTAGTACCTCTTATCTGTAATGGTACAGTTAGGAGAAAGCAATATATTCTTAATTCTGAAGACAAAAACTGTGAAGAATGCAAACTTTATAGAAATGTTTTGACATCAACTTGAAACAAAATTTTCACCCAGCCAAACTGTGGTGACATTATTGGTACAAGTTTTCATTCCTTCACTCAAATTTGTTGTCAACATACTGTCTGAAAATGAGGTTCTTATGCAGAAAGTTAAAATGATTCACCTCTCTGGCCACTTCTTCGAGTGAACATCCTGGTAGATCTGATCTTGGCTTCAATGTGCGGCCTAGATTGGTTAGCATAAAAGTGTAAGAAAAAGTTAACTATGATTACGTTTAATAATAACATGTCATATAGATGAATACATGCATTTATGATGATTACAAGTATTATTTCAATCTTGCCACCAGTCATCAATAGTGACAAAGTTCTGAATTGCATTACCCAAAAGTCAGCCAGCACTCGCAATGATGGTGGAATTTGAAAAAAAAAAAAAAAAAAAAAAAACCACTTAGCATTCAATCTTTAAGAGGGAAAATCTAATGCTTAATTGGCACTTAAACTTTAAATATACAATACGCTTTTTAGTCTATATACATGGAACAGAACTTTATGCACCTCATTAAAAACTGTGAAGATGCAATTTCAAATTAATATCTAAAATGTTGAGGTAAACCATGTTATAAATTTTTTTCCATTCTATTTACCAGTGATATAAACCACAGCCCCTGCCTTTGCCAGCTGGAGAGCAATCCCTTTACCAATGCCTCTGGTAGCTCCTGTTACTATTGCAACCTTTCCTGCAAGTGGATTAGCCATTGCCAAGCCTGCAAATCAACACTGACATGTTATTACTACAAGCACTATACAAATTCGCCTTAAAACTTTCATCAGTAGACAATTAATCTATGGCCCAGGAAATTTAATAACTTGTGTAGCAAAAGATGGTATTAAACATACTCACACGTGTGAGAAAAATTGATATAAATCCGAAGTGAAGCTGTGAGTTTTGCAGGAGCAGCTGCTTGTACACTCCAAACAGCAGAGGCCTAGCGCTTTATGTAAGTCGTTTGATCTTCTTTATATTTCAGCCAATTTTCTCAATAAAAATTAATGAAAAATATAACAATTTGTTCGTATCATGTTCAAGTGGAAATACAATTCATAATTTATTTCTTTATAGTCGATTTCATATGCTTGCTTACATTTTAAAATGTAAAAGTGCGAGATAGTTTTGTGCGGGACAGACGTGAACTCCGGTGTGTGAACTCCAATGTAAACAGAGGTGAGTTCTCTTTGGACTCGGGTCATCAATTGCCACCGCGTGTCAACACAGCCGTCTAGCAGAGTCATGTATATCACAAACGCATAAGATCAACATGTCATCTAAAGCCCATTTTAAAGCCCAGTTGTATAATAATACTGATAATAAAGATTTATACCGGTACGTACATGTACGTAGTTTTATATGAACAACTGCATGAACAAACAAACAAAAGATTGTGCGGTTTAATTCCTACCACGCCTTTAGGTAGAGTCTACTTAGTTTTAGACCTGCCGATCACTTTTGGATCAAGCAATGCTAAATGACTGAGAAGTAAGTTTTTATTTTCACTAAGATTTCTTGACACTAAACCTACTAAAATTTGGTCGACCTTATACATGTATTAGGGTCTACTTGTACTAAGGTTTCGTTCACATGCAGTGTCTATTTTCTAAATTCTATTTTCTATTCGCGCTATCTTATGATCACGGTCTGTGCCCTGAATATCCCGCCGCGTAATTACTGGCAGCGTGAGCCAGTTACTTATAGTAACTTATAGTAACTGGCTCGCGCTGCCAGTAATTACGCCGCGGGATATTCAGGGCACAGACCGCGATCATAAGACATACCGCGAATAGAAAATAGAATTTAGAAAATAGACATTGCATGTGAATGAAGCCTAATACATGTACAATTGCTTCCAGGTCCACACAGGAATTTTTAGAATAAGCTAGATACTGAAATTTGGGGCACTTGAGAAGCTCCATTTCTGAGTGTAAATACACCGTTTGAATTTTGAGCTATCTCATTTAGATCAAGCTGATTCAAGTTTTAGTGACAACATGTCTGTCGTTTTTTGTTTCAGAGGCCACTTTCAAATGAGTCAAAAGTTGTCCCACTTGCAATATGAAATTTTTCAAATAAGAAGTGAAGGAACTAGACATGAACATACAGTTTAAATTTTGATTCTATCATTTTCCCATGCAGAGTAATGTGCATGTGAGGGCAAAGTGAAAGAATTTTGGTGCACAAATGCATGCAGTATGAGCTATTGTTATCGAAACAAATCTTCCAAAGTATACTATGTACTACATGTAGTTTGCAGTAGAACTTGATCTCCTTACATTGACATGCTGGTTAAAAACCTGCAGTGGTCCCTGTTCTTATATTTCGTCTTGCAGACCTTCACTAACTTTGAAAAAAAATTCAAATTGTCCTTTAAAAAAATCTAACCTTTCCAAAACATTGCTTAGTGGCACATGGTAGTACCTGCTGTTTTTAGTCATGTGTCATCATAGGTCAGCTCTTAATGCAGTACATAGTTGCAAAGCAGCATGCAATGAAAAAACTGGTAGAAATCTTGTACCCTGCAAACACTTAGATTGCAATAATGTAATATAAATGGTAATATATGGGCCTTGAATAAACTGGTACACTTTTTATGGTATTTTAGGTAAACATTAATGTTTTGTGCAGTGCACTATTAAATAGTATGCATCTCTTTTCAGAAGTATGGCCAAACCGCTAACCGGTAAGGTTGCCATAGTAACAGGAGCTACCAGAGGCATTGGTAAAGGGATTGCTCTCCAGCTGGCGAAGGCAGGGGCTGTGGTTTATATCACTGGTAAAGAAACAGTCGTGTGTTCAGGGGTTTATGTTAAAGGAGAGGTGGGGAGAACAGAACTGTGAAAGCGTGTTGTTTAAATACAAGTGTGTAAAAGATTTTGTATGCACATAAGGGAAAAGAATGTGTGGAGACTGTTTGTGTGGTATTTTTAAATGGTTTTGAGGTTGTGAACAACATACAAAATGTCTGATCCTTTGCATGATTTAATTATATGTAATGGTATAATTTTACATACTGCACTGAAAGCAGAAGCAAAAGATTGTAAGAGAGTTTTTCTTGCTATAATAATAGGCCATATGTTAAAGGCAACTTTGCATGGGGTGGTCGGACTGAAAAACTATTTTCTTTCTTTTATACAAGGTCGTACCTTGAAGCCAAGGCCAGATTTTCCAGGATGTTCACTGGAAGAGATGTCCAAAGAGGTATATGTAGAAAAAATATCTTTGAAGTCCCAAACCACTGTTGAAACTTAACATTTGGTTATTTTGATACATGAAGCAAGTTGTAATTTATTGCCATTGAATCATCTTTTATTGGAATAGTTAGTAAACCAATAAAGAGCATGTCAATATTTGATTGATAATTGATTAAAGACTGCTCTTTATTAATTTTTTAAGAGATTAATGTGGAAATTTTAACTGACAAAAATATATATAATTGCCAAATTTAAAATGATTTTAGAGAAAGCACTCGTTCTTATTATGGGCCCTAATATATAATTCCAGATATCAGAGAACAGTGGACAGTGTATACCAATACAGTGTGACCACAGTAAAGATGAAGACATTAAAGCTCTCTTTGACCGAGTTAAAGAGGAGCAGAAGGGAAAACTGGACATCATGGTCAACAATGCTTATTCAGGTGCAAAGGTAGGTACTGTAGATCCTAGACATGTTATAATCAGTTGCCTCTCTCTCTTTGAAAAACTGGACATCATGGTCAACAATGCTTATTCAGGTGCAAAGGTAGGTACTGTAGATCCTAGACATGTTATAATCAGTTGCCTCTCTCTCTTTGAAGAATAGCTAGGTTTCTATTAATTGATGAGTTATACTTGTTTGAATGCACTGAATATAATCCATAGATAATTAGTGAGATGGTTAGGGTGAATATTCTGTGTAAGGATGCATAAGGTATTTTAATCACATATTTCATTTTTAGGCTATAACTGATAATAATGGAAAGCCATTCTGGGAGCAGCCAACCACAATTTGGGATGACATGAACAATGTTGGACTAAGGTCAGCTGAAGATGATAAATAATACATCATTTTGCATTATGTTGCTAAATGGATTATGGGCATTATATAAAAGGGATGTTATCAACAAAAGCCTGACTTTAAAAAGAACTCTTGATGTTGAGTGGAATATATTCAGTGTATCATATTGTCTAATTTGCCAGTCCCTTTTTTCATGTCAAATTTTTAAAGGATTTTTTAAATATGGTTACTTAATTGTCTTTTTTTTAAGCACAAACCTGGCTGTTGGTTCCTTTTCAAGACCATACCACACTCAACACTGATTCTCCCAATTTTTTTCTCTCTGTATTCCAGAAATCATTACATATGCTCTGTGTATGCCAGCCAGATGATGGTGCCAAGTAAACAAGGGCTAATAGTGAATATATCCTCACTTGGAGGCCTGGCCTACATGATGAATGTTTCATATGGAGTTGGCAAGGAAGCAGTGAGTTTTAACAGAATTGTCTTTTAGAGCATTTGTTTCTTTTTTATTTTTGCTCTGAGGAAATGTGACATTTCCCAATAGTCACTGTGGTAAATATTGACATGAAAAAGAAAGAAATTAAAACAAATAAAAATGTTCAACTGTCTTTGGTTTCCATACTTGGAAAATAGTCTGTCATCCATTATTCTGATTTTAATTGAATATCTTAGCAGTTGCCAAAGGGTGATATTTACTTTATGCTATAAAGTAAAAGTTTTATGTGTAGATTTAAGCCTGTGCATCAGTTCAATAAATTTTGTAGGACCACCACCCTTAAGATCTAAACATAAACTAGGGCATATCCATTTTTTTTTACAAGTTCAAGTGCAAAGATGCAGGCCTTGAATTAACTAACACAAATTACTGGGTGTGTGTGTACCTAAGACATTATTCAGTCTTTTTAATGAAACCTCTTCAGGAGATGGACTCTGTGACTGCAAACCCTCGTCTTAAGTACATTTTGAAGACAGGTCCCAGGAAGACAAATTGAAGTAATGTAACTGAAAACAACTGTTACAAATAGGGACCATATCACCTGTGATATGTTTGTGTTTTCAGTGTGACCGCATGGCAGCAGATTGTGCCATAGAGCTGAAGAAGCACAATGTCGCCTTTGTGAGTATCTGGCCAGGAGCCGTTCTCACAGAATTCACAGAGCAGATGATGGAAGGAGACCATTCAGATAAAGGTGATAGTCCCGGGGTATCCAAAGAAATGGTGAGTTAGACTGTGTTTCCCTAAACCCATCTTACTAGCTGGATCGATCTAACTCTGCTGGGCTTCTCTCTAAAGTGCTTCCGGTGTAATTAGCTTGATTGCCTGGCACGTCCCCTTGAGTAACTAGGGGGTAACTGACTGTCCTTAATTACCCCCTAGCAATTTAAGTAGCATGCCAGACATTTAAGCCTCTTAGACCCCATTTCCAGAGATTAGATCGATCTACTTTAGATCAACCTAACTCCCTGGGGGTTCACGCTAAATAGCTGTCAGCCGAGCGGACACGAAAGTTAATTACCCCCTTACAGCTTGTAGTAGGCAGGATGGACATTTAAGCCGGATTATCTGACAGAAATCTAGTGAGACTCCCCGCGGGGATAGATCGATCTAAAAGCTCTGGGAATACAGCCTTACACTGAATGCAGTTTAGTTTGAATGCCTGCAGAGCAAGATGGATCCAGCAAGTTTGATGGGTTTATGGGAAGGCTTAGACACACTTTTATGTACAGACTCTTCATTTCTGTTAATTAACCATCTTCACTCTGTCCTATAGTGGAGCTATTATACAGCCAAAGTTATGCAGCAAATGTTATCCCCTGATACTATAGTGTCCACTGTCATGCCCATCACTTGACAAAATATGTTACTTGAAAGAAAAAAAAAACGTTTAACAGTCCATGAACATGGAATATGATTTGTACATTTTTGGATGAACAAGTAAAGAATGGACTTTGAATAGTAAGGAGCAAAGTTATACCTCATGTTTTAAATTATTTTTCAATCAGCTATAGTTTTCATCTGCTGGTACTGTCTAGTTAATTTTGATTTAGAATAAGCAGACAGACTGACTCACCTGTAGAAAGAAAAGTTAAGGTGCAGATTGCATTTAAGTTTTAGTTTCCACTCCAGTGGTGAGCTAATAAAGTTTATTAACCATTCCAAGAATAAGATCAAGAACTGAAGGATGGGCCTGCTTCCATAATTAATACCCTTAAAATTAACAGCAAGTCATGCTGCTCATATGGGTAAGACAACTGCAGTCATGTACTGTCTGTTTCCATTTTGAAGAAGGTCATAAACACAATAAGATTTGTAAAACTTTGTTTTGTTTTTAGGTAGCAAGACTGTTCGCAAATGCAGAAAGCCCACAGTATGTTGGAATGTGCATTGCCAAGCTAGCAGCAGGTACTGTACAGAGGCGGATCCAGAATTATTTTCTGACAGTCTTCCAAATTATCTTTGCTGATCCATCTTCAATTTTGACCGTCTTCCGACAAAAAATTATATACCTGTCAATACAAACTTGAAAATCTGACCGTCTTCCGGAAGACCCAGAAGACGGCCTCAATCCACCCCTGCTGTAAATATGAACATATGCAAGAGTGTTGCAAACAAAAATTTACACTGTAATTAGCCTGTCAGTCATTCTTTGCTAGTGGTGCACTGCAGGGGGGCCATAACAAGAATGTTATTTAAATTTAGATAGCCAACCAAATTCTCATGACATCGTTGTGTATGTTTCAATAACAAATCAAAGAAGCTGCATGAGCAAGGAGGATGCTGTTATGAAAGCAAAATAAGAGAAAAAGCNGATCTTGTTCCTCATTGGAAGAACAAGCATGGGAAGAAAGTCTAGACTTCAGCTCATTTAATATTTCGCTTGATGGTTTTAGATGTTTTTGCGAATTTAACCGAAAATGGCCAGTTTCCGATTGACATTTAGAAGATAGTTTTTCTCTTTGAACTGATTTAGAATCAACTTTGGGCACTGAAGCCATAGCCCCTTCATCTGATTTTTCTGTAGAAGCCAACCTGGCTCTTTCCTTTTTCAGTTCTGAAAGAGTTTTCCTTAATTGTAATAATTTGGCAAAATTTTCCGAAATATGTTTTTCTAAATGTTTATTGGAGAGCTGTTCTCTAGAACTTTCGTTTTCCTCCAGTTTAGCATGACTGAGAGTAGTTGCACTGGTGTACATTGAAGCAGGTGATCTCCACTTTCTCCTATCATCCATAACTGCAATGAGTATATGAACAATAATAAGTCCAAAATAAAACAATATATACAAACTTACAATGGAGAATGTGATAATGAGATACTTGTTGAACCTGAAACAATTACCAGCAGACTACAAACAACACACCTGAGACCAAAAGTTGCTAGGCTTAAGTGAGACTAATTAACAGTGCATTAAAAGCTCCTGAAATATAATCAGTTCACTGCAATAATATCAAGCGAATAAAATTGCTAAGCCGATGTGAAACAAGTCCCAGTGTATTAAAAGCTCCTGGATTTGACCAGTTCACAACAACAATTGAAAAGCAGTGTGAAACACACCTGATTTCAACTTGGTCCCAATAAACTAGAGTAATGTAAGGTTAAAAGGGTAAAAGTGGTTGAACAGTTCACAAGAAATTTCACAAGGCGTGTACTCAAGTGTATGAAACAGAGTTGCCGGCTATGAGCTTCTAAGATGATAACAGCTCACCTGTGATACAGTTGAGTGAGTTTGTCATGGAGAACGAATAAAGCGAGTATGTGGTGTTATTATTTTCAAAAAACTTGTCAAAATTTCTTTATTTACCCTAAACGGATTCCTTATGGGCCCTTGCAAACTAAACTTCATTGAAATGAATTCAGTTACCTGATGCACCTGCCCCTCCCTTAAAAAAAACAAAGAAATTTCTGACCTCAAGTTTTTGAACTTCCCGCGTAATTTCTTAGGATCCTTGTCGCCAATAAAGTGTTTATGCGAGCTATCTGTCTTCCGTTCGAGGCTCGTGTGTCCTCTCCTCGCACCGAGTGTCCTTATTAAGCTCTGCTCTACGTCGCCAGATCCGCTCTCCGTATTCACAGGTCGAAGCTCCTTGTGTAACTGTGTGGGTATATACAGTAGTCGTAGAAAGGTGTGTAGGCGAGTCCGCACCCTCTCGCGTCGTGGCTCGAACTGCTCTTAGTCTAATCATTTACTGCACTCCCGCCAGGTGGTGTAAGGCTCGTCTCCGTAGTTCAGGGAGTGCTTCCGGGACAATCACAACAGGCCTAGCGCTTTATGTAAGTCGTTTGATCTTCTTTATATTTCAGCCAATTTTCTCAATAAAAATTAATGAAAAATATAACAATTTGTTCGTATCATGTTCAAGTGGAAATACAATTCATAATTTATTTTTTAACAGTCGATTTCATATGCTTGCTTACATTTTAAAATGTAAAAGTGCGAGATAGTTTTGTGCGGGACAGACGTACCAATCGGTGAACTCCAGTGTGTGAACTCCAATGTAAACAGAGGTGAGTTCTCTTTGGACTCGGGTCATCGCCACCGCGTGTCAACACAGCCGTCTGGCAGAGTCATATGTATATCACAAACGCATAAGATCACCATATCATCTAACTGTTTTTTAAGCCCATTGTATAATAATAATGATAATAAAGATTTATACAGGTAGTTTTATATGAACAACTGCATGAACAAACAAACAAAAGATTGTGCGGTTTAATTCCTACCACGCCTTCAAGTAGAGTCTACTTAGTTTTAGACCTGCCGATCACTTCTGGATCAGGCAATGCTAAATGACTGAGAAGTAAGTTTTTATTTTCACTAAGATTTCTTGACACTAAACCTACTGTATTAGGGTCTACGTGTACTAATACAGGTACGATTGCTTCCAGGTCCACACAGGAATTTTTAGAATAAGCTAGATACTGAAATTTGGGGCACTTGAGAAGCTCCATTTCTGAGTGTAAATACACCGTTTGAATTTTGAGCTATCTCATTTAGATCAAGCACAATTCAAGTTTTTAGTGACAACATGTCTGGCATTTTTTTTTTTTGCTTCAGAGACCACTTTCAAATGAGTCAAAAGTTGCCCCACTCGCAATATGAAATTTGTCACATAAGAAGTGAAGGAGCTAGGCATGAACATATAGTTTAAATTCTGATGCTAGCATTTTCTCATGCAGAGTAATGTGCATGTGAGGGCACAGTGAAAGAATTTTAGTGGACAAATGCAGGTAGTATGAGATATTATTATCGAAACAATATGAATCTTCCAAAGTAAACTATATGCTACATTTAGTTTGCAGTAGAACTTGATGCCCTTATATTGACTTAATTGGGAACAAGAGGGTGCACGTGGGGGGGGGGGGGTACCAAAATTACAGTACCAAACACTATATATAGTAATATATATATTTCTACAAAAATCTGACATGCTGGTTAAAAACCTACAGTGGTCCTTAATCGTTTTTATATTTTGTTTTGCAGACCTTTACTAACTTTGAAAAAAATTCAAATTGTCCATTAAAAATCTAGCCTTTCCAAAACATTGCCTAGTGGCACATGGTAGTGCCTGCTGTTTTTAGTAATGTGTCATCATAGGTCAGTTCGTAATGCAGTAGTTGCAAAGCAGCATGCAATGAAAAAACTGGTAGAAATCTTGTACTCTGTGAACACTTTCTATTGCAATAATGTTGAATGTAATATAAATGGTAATATATGGGCCTTGAATAAACTGGTACACTTTTTATGGTATTTTAGCTAAACATTAATGTTTTGTGCACTGCACTATTAAATAGTATGCATCTCTTTTCAGAAGTATGGCCAAACCGCTAACCGGCAAGGTTGCCATAGTAACAGGAGCTACCAGAGGCATTGGTAAAGGGATTGCCCTCCAGCTGGCAAAGGCAGGGGCTGTGGTATATATCACTGGTAAAGAAACAGTTATGTGTAATCAGGGGTTTATGTTAAAGGAGAGGTGGGGAGTACAGGACTGTGAAAGCATGTTGTTTAAATACAAGTGTGTAAAAGATTTTGTATGCGTGTAAGGGAAATGAATGTGTGGTGACTGTTTGTGTGGTATTTTTAAATGATTTTGAGGTTGTGAACAACATACAAAATGTCTGATCCTTCGCATGATTTATTTATATATAATGGTATAATTTTACATACTGCACTGAAAGCAGAAGCAAAAGATTGTAAGAGAGTTTTTCTTGCTATGATATTAGGCCATATGTTAAAGGCAACTTTGCATGGGGTGGTCAGACTGAAAAACTATTTTCTTTCTTTTATACAAGGTCGTACCTTGAAGCCAAGGCCAGATTTTCCAGGATGTTCACTGGAAGAGGTGTCCAAAGAGGTATATGTAGAAAAACTATCTTTGAAGTCCCAAACCACTGTTGAAACTTAACATTTGGTTATTTTGATACATGAAGCAAGTTGTAATTTATTGCCATTGAATCATCTTTTATTGGAGTAGTTAGTAAACTGGTAAAGAGCATGTCGATATTTGATTGATAATTCATTAAAGACCGCTCTTTATTAATTTTTTAAGAGATTAATGTGGAAATTTTAACTGACAAAAATATATATAATTGCCAAATTTAAAATGATTTTAGAGAAAGCACTCGTTCTTATTATAGGCCCTAATATGTAATTACAGATATCAGAGAACAGTGGACAGTGTATACCAATACAGTGTGACCACAGTAAAGATGAAGATATTAAAGCTCTCTTTGACCGAGTTAAAGAGGAGCAGAAGGGAAAACTGGACATACTGGTCAACAATGCTTACTCAGGTGCAAAGGTACGTAGGTTGATCCAAGAGGTGTTGTACATGTAATCTTTGAGAATTAGACTAAGTTAGGTAAATTTAAAATAAATTCTTGTTTAAATGCAGTCATATAAGCCATCTAATATTTAAAAATCATATATTTCATTTTTAGGCTATAACTGATAATAATGGAAAGCCATTCTGGGAGCAACCAACCACAATTTGGGATGAAATGAACAATGTTGGACTTAGGTCAGCTGAAGATGATAAACGATACATCATCTTGCATAATGTTGCCAAATAGATTGTGGGCATTATATAAAAGGGATGTTTTCAACATAAGCCTGATTTAAAAAAAAATCTTAGTATTGAGTGGAATACATATCAGATATGCTAGTTTGCCAGTCCCTTTTTCTCATATCAGGTATTAAAAGCATTTTTTTTTTCAAATATGGTCTGTTGCATTATTGTCCTTTTTAAGTGCAAACGTGGCTGTTGGTTCCTTCTCAAGAGGCAACCATACCACACTCATCACTGAAACTCCAGAGTTTTTCTCTCCATATTCCAGAAATCACTACATATGCTCTGTGTATGCCAGCCAGATGATGGTGCCAAGAAAACAAGGGCTAATAGTGAATATATCCTCACTTGGAGGCCTGGCCTACATGATGAATGTTTCATATGGAGTTGGCAAGGAAGCAGTGAGTTTTAACAGAATTATACTTTAGAGCATTTGTTTCTTTTTTATTTTTGCTCTGAGGAAATGTGACATTTCCCAATAGTCACTGTGGTAAATATTGACATGAAAAAGAAAGAAATTAGGCCACACTTTTTTATTTTTATGGATGACATCCTCTGGGGACCCCAAAATCGGTGCGAGCGTGCGAAAAAAAAAAAAACAGTCCCCCCCCCAAAAAAAACTGCTTAAGAAAAGTTATGTTTTCAGTACACAGCTGGAAACACTAATTTACCACAGAAACACGTATCAAACTAACAACATGTCTTTATCCATGCTCTCAAAATATTAAAGCATTGTGAATAGGGCCTACTTCGTAGAAAGGTAAAAAGTCATGAATAGGCCCCCCTATATATGCTGCATATTACCAAATCTATTTATTATAAGGTTATTTCATGCATTCTGTTGGTATAGCAATCAATAAAACAAATATCAAATAAACAGCGTGTCTTTATTTGTACTCTCATAAAATTAAAGCATTGTGAACACTTCACAGACTTGTTAAAAAAATGAAGCAAAGATAGGCCTATGCTTCCTACTACCAAATCTAAAAAAGGTAATTTCGGTCGATGCCATTTTGTCTACTTCGACTCACACGTAGCAGCCAACTATCGGGTGGCCTGTCCAACCTTCAGTCCACCAAATACCACGACGCTCTTGT